AACGCCTGTGGTTCATGGCTCAAAGGCTGTTAGTTCAACGCAGTTTGAAGACCTGAACATCCAAAATTCTTTCAGATGAATTTCTCTTCCGACCGGGAAACCATCGGTACACCAACGAACCGGATAGGTTTTACTGATCTGTCACCAAATAATTTTATTCTCGGATGTTTTCCGACTTTGGATACGTTTGCTAATATTTTGGTCCTAACTGCGCCATTATTAAGTCAATAATTGATAACTGGAGTATTTGGAATGATCTTACAGATAACACTACAACGGTTGATCATCTATCTTTTGGTATAACCAAACTGCATCTAATTGTCTGAAAAGTCCATGTTTTTTTCCTTTTTATTCCAGGATGAGAGATGTCACTTTGATGGCCGAAAAGCCGCAGCGAGGGTTCAGTCTTTCTCAACCGAACACACCGGGAACGAGCAGACACTAAAAGTGATGGTGAGCAGCCAAGGACCGATCGCAATTGCTGTGGACGCGGATCGAGGTTTTCATCAATATAGGTAAGAAAATTTATTGTTTCGTTTAACCAATGCCCAGAAGAGAATACACTCTGGTTGATAACTGATATACGTTTATTCAATACGAAATTCAACCCGGAACAATGCACCTGATTATCCACTTTCTTCCTCTCTCCATTCCTCCCTCCCTCCCTCATCTCTTTCCCTCTCTCTCTCTCTCTTTATTTCAATTGACTTGCGCCGTATACTCAAATCCATCCCCCACAGTCGAGGAATCTATCAAAGCCCCAGCTGTTCATCTCGCAGCTTGAATCATGCCGTGCTGGTTGTTGGTTACGGTGAAGATCGGGGCAACCGTTACTGGATTATCAAAAATAGTTGGGGACCGGATTGGGGCGAGGGCGGATACATCAGGCTGGCCCGTGACCATGGGAACATGTGCGGAGTGGCTACAATGGCCAGTGTGCCCCAGCTCAGCTAATCACATTCAATGATTCCTGATGTAGTTTTTCAGCTTGCAATAAATTCTTGTCCCCAAGACTTTCCACTACTCATGAGAGACCGCTACGAATGTCACAATTAAGCCCTCTGTTACGGCGTGATGCGAAAGCTCTCGTGGGTTATCAGTCATAACGAATGAAATCGTAGTGGTATCCGTGTTATTAAATTATTATCAATATATTAACTCTGATTACGTGGTGAGTTTTATTGTTCTAGGGAGGAAGATACTTGAAACAAATAGTTAATTAATAACCATAGTCTAAGAGCTAAAGCACATGCACTCTCGCACAGGACGCCAAGAGGTCAACCGGGGATGAACACGAGCAACTTTAATCTGCATTAGTGACTGATTCTAAGTCAAGTTAGGTCAGTTAATCGATGATGTAACACTGCTGCTACAGATGATAATGGCGATGAACAAACCATTCCATTCACTCTAAATGCACAAAAGATGCACCATGGAGCACGTGACGTGTAGATGTTAAATGCACATCAGAAACAGCCCACATTTTATTGATAATTGGGGATTGGTGAGAGACCATTCTAAAGAAATCAAAGCTGAACTGCGGAGATTAAATGCCGCTTATGTAAATGCACTGCTGACAAGCAGAAATTGTCGGGATACATGGAGAATTATGTGTCAGTTCTGCGGTCTCAAAACGAAGGAGAATCTTCCAGCTGCCAACATGGAAGATGCCAATTGGCAATTCAGCAATGCTGAAACCGACATCCTTATTCCATTCACAGCAGTCGTCCCTGCTCCTAATGTTGTTATTTTATTACTGATCAAACAGAAGTATTCAAAACTTTCATCAATCTGAAGTCTAATAAAGCATGCGGTCCTGATGGTCTGCCACCTGTTGTGTTCAAAGAATGTGCAGTTTCCCTTTCCCCTATTTTCACCGACCTACTCAACCGGTCGTTTACTCAACATTGCATTCCGGACTGCCGGAGAGTGGCTTCCATCACACCAGTACCCCAAAAGAGACCGTCCAAATTTTGCCCAATTGCTTGCACTTCTGTTGGTTCGAAAGTCATGGAAAAGATATACTAGAGAAGATATTGTCCCAGCTGAATGCACCTGGTCCCAACCAATTTGCCCATTGCAATTTCAGGTCAACCATTGATGCATTGCCATCCTTAATTCATTATGTCTCTTCCTCCTTGATCAGGAAATGTAAAGCTGTTCGTATTCGTTTCTTTGATTATGGTGATGCCTTTAATTGTGTTGATAGGTCCAAAATTCTTCACACTCTTTCTGAGAAAGTCATTCAGCCGGAGCTTACCAGTCTGTGAAGTAATTATTTCACTCATCGATTACAGGTTACCAAATAAAACGGTCGTACCGCTTAACTTTCACCCTCCACTCAAGAAGTTCTTCAAGGAGCTATTCTCTTCCCCGTCTTGTTCACAACCTATATTTCTTCAATGCCTGCTTTTGATGATTGTCTGCTCATTAAGTATGCCGAT